TTTGCCAGAGCGCTTCTGATGCGACAAGGGGTCGTTGGACACTGAAACGCTTCCATGGGCTCGCGAGGACTTAGAAATATGGAGTTTTTATCTCACAGCTCTGAGAAAATCATCTCCAAAATGACATCGTCATGTTCCATCATATTTACAGGTGATGTGGAGTTGGTGCAATGTTCTAACAAATCCACAGAAGCCTAGCTTATACAGTGAAAGCCCAACCTCATGCGAATTCGATTCTTTTGAATTGTGGGCGAGATAAGAGAGGGGCTTCGCTCTGGGAACCACCCAATACCAGCGGTGAATATTAACAGCTTGACAGCGATGGTCGCAAATTAAAAGTGTAGCAAGAAAAGTCTGCTTTTTTTCTGAGGTTGTGTACCCTTTCATGTAGAGGAGAGGAATCACAAGAGATTCTCGAAAAGTCAAATTTTCAGCTCTCGCGTGTAACGCTGACCTCGTGTAAACAAACAACCACCTTCTCTGCTCTTTTGCACTCTTCTTAGGGAAGAAATGAGGGCTGAGTGACGGGGTTTCAATGCTGATATACGATCTTTCTTCGATTAGAAATTACGGATCGATAAGAATGGCAATGACTAGTTCCCCATGAACAGATAATGTTTTTTAATAATGGTGTTGTATGTTTAGATGAGCTAGCACCTGAGAAAAACAATGAAAAAAAATCGAATTGAAAAATAGTCAAAGTAATTCACTAATTATGGGGCAACCTAATATTATGCACTAATGTGGCGCGGATTAAAACCCCTTACTATTAATTTTCGTCCTTTCTCTTAAAATACATAGCGCTGAAGCGCTCCAAAAAATATACTAACTGAAACTCACCACAGCTCCACTGCGACTTCGCAACATCATGGCTTCTCGATCACTCGCGTCGTCTTCAGAGGAAGATGACATCGAACCCACATGTGCTGATCTGTCGTGGAAAACACTGCAAAGCATTGTTGAGGATACAAGATATAACGCAAACACATAAACCAAAAAAATTATTGGGATCAATCTTACCCATTTTTGAGGATAGGAACCACTCCTGGATCTGTCAACATTGTTCGACCGTGGGAAAAAAGCGTCATAAATATTAGAGTATTGAATAAAGCGATATGGAATGCGCCCCAGATACTGAAAAACAAAGCAACATGAAGAAAATATTATAACGTTCTCCGAGAAAAAGCTCAGTATTTGCAATCGCTAATCATGGTATCGTGTACATTTATTTTTACTTTATTTATTTTTATATTAGAGGAGGCAGGGTGAAATCAGTCGAGCATTCGTTGACGGCTCGTCGAGGATTTTCGCCTGTCAGTCACGCTCTCCCGCGCGGACATTCACTCTCGCCACGCGCGAGCCGTCTGTGCTCTCCGCGCGTACATTCACTCTCGACACTATTCTCACAGCACAGAGCCATGATCGAAAGTTTCCTCTACCGTTATTCACACTGAAAGAGGTACGCTCTTACTTCGATAACCTTAAGGTGTGTTCAACTGAACAACTCATTAAGGGAGATAGGATGTAATACTAGAACAGTAGGGTGGCATTGGGAACACAGCGTTGCGATGGCATTCCTTTGTAAAAAAATAACTTACGAGTTTCCGAACACCGGCATGACCATCCATACCGTGACGACATAATCCGCATAGAAAACGCATCCATATATCATAACAACGCATACTAAGCCACAAGGATCCAGACGCACAATCATGACGGTGCTGGTGACATGAATCAGTCACCAATTGTATCAGGAAATCGTCGACATAAAAACTCCTTCCTAAACAGTTGAATAGAATGATGAGGAATTTCCGGAAAAAAGCGTCATTACGAGGTGGCACTGTATGTGGTCACAAGAGGTAAAAAAAGAAAAGCGCTAATTTATTATCCGAATAGAATGTCACAGGGAGGAATTGTAGTTAGAGAGGACATCGCGGCGCGATAGTTCGTCCCAAACAATCTCTTTTTTGCAGGGCAGGAGGCTCCAAGGTGGGTAAAGCAGCCTGCTTGTCCAAAAAAGAAGGAAGTGAGAATGTAAATGAAAATGTCTGCCTCGTTTTGAATGTTTTATTCGCTCTGTGTCACGATGCCCTTTCCGACAACACGCAAGCTGAACACAAGTTTCTTATTTCTTTGCTCATATCAACGGGAAGAAATACATTTCTACTTCAAAGGGAATTACGGCGTTTTCCAACGGAGTGAGAGGCACTGGTAGCGGAGCGCTAACGTGTTTCAGACCACGACAGCATTTCATTTCAGTAGCTCAGATCAAGGACTTAGCGTAAAAGAAAAGGTTTCGGGCTGCATAAACATTCATTTCCCCAAAGTTCCTCTCCACCCTCTTCGGCTTAGACCTAACGGAAGTGAGAGTTGGTCCATATGATTAACATTCACCTTTTCGAACAATCGAACGCAAACATATATATGAAAGATACAAATAAACACAAAAAATGACGCAAGAATGACCACAAGCTGTACGGAGCTTTGAAGGATTCCTTGAGCAAAATGGGATTAAAGCAGTTTATCCTCGCAATTACTCCCACCCCTCTCCCAACCGATTGGAAGTACGCCAGGACTACAAATCAGCACATTTACAACTACGAAATTACCATAGATCGACGTTATATCATGATCATGGAACTGAAGAGAAAAAAGACTCTTGAAATCGAAAAAAAATTTCCTTTCACTTCTCATACCTGAAAACATCTAAAGAGTAAAGCGTTACAACACTATGGAATATGTTGATCATTTAATATTATTCCCTAGTTAAGTAAAGCACCAAAGGGAGGTCTTATTAAGACCCCTGGACTGAGGCGTGTGCTTATACTTTGCGACCGTCCTACAACATTGTTCATGCGATCGCATAATCGATACGTATCCACCCCACACCAAACTGCGAACAAAGTGCAAGACTGTCAAAAAGTATAAAACAGTCTTAGATATCAGAGGATAGCTGACTCATTTGCGAGGCTACATTGACTTCCATATCTTGTATATGATGACAAATATGGATATCCAGTATCATTTAGTGTTCTTGAATGCAGTGAGATTAAAAATGAAAGCCCTAAACGATCAGCTCCGTAACTAGAAGACTGATGTCGAGAATTTTCCTAATAAGGATTAGCATATGCAAAGGGTTTCTGAGCCGTTGTAAGGCTTAGAAACGGCTCAAAGTGGAACACTTCTCACGCAATTATCTGCCACAGTAGAGTTTCCTGCTCTTAAGGGTCAGATGTTTCTTTTCTAGTACCAAACAGGTTCATTTACGAACAACGTAATCAATTACTCTTTCGCTCTCAATTGCTAAACGAGTTTGAGAGTTGAATAGCCTGAGGTACTGCAAAAAGCCGAATTATCATCACAGTAAAAAAAACCTTCGCCCTTTCAAATCAAGAGACGTTCGTCCTTTCTTTGCATCAAGCGTTATGTACTGTTCTATGGAAGATGTTTTTTTCATAAATACGTTGAACAAAGGATTAGCCAAAAGCTCTGCCAAAGAATTCGAAAAAACCAGGCAGAAGGAATTTTAAAAAGCCCATATTTGGTACAGGAAGGCAAACTACAGGCAACCTATGGCCACTTCGTGCCGTCTTCATCGGCACAGACTATAGTCGTAAGCTTGAACTTAGCCTCAGCTGGGGTTCTAGAACAATCATAAACAGCCATCTCTGATCACTAGAACCAGCCAGAATAGGCAGTCTCTTGACAATCTGGTGCGATGTGACTGGCAGCAGCAGGAGAATGATATAAACTGCAGTTTGCAGCTTGTTTATTATATGAAGGAAAAATGCTATCTTAGTTGGAGGGGACCATAAGCCCGAGAGTATTCCCATGTAAAAAACAAACGTTGCAAAACTAGAAGAGTTAGAGGCAAACTACAAGTTAAGAGAGCCTAAATGAAACCTTGGCCCCACCCCATGATGAAAGTGAAGAGCCCCAAAAATATAGAAATGGCGAGAAGCAATGCGAAGAACAATGAAAAGTTCAATAATTTACAGACCACCCAGATGGGGAATTGTAGTGGGGTTGACGTTCAATGTTAAACATTCTGTTCATTTACGTACCATGCAACGAACCCTATGCGTTCTTAAATCTTTGACAAGTTCGGTTATCGGCTGTTCAGAGATGTCCGCTTGCGCGAAAAAACGCATAGGCGAAACAATGTGAAATATGTATCGACTGAACGAAGACGCACAGGCGAATCGTGAAGTGGGAGGATCGACGAAAATGAGTATCATACGCATCGACTTACGAACGCTTCGCTCACGCGATTTTCCGCCTGTGCGTTTCTCACAGTCGATACATATCAAACTCTTGACTGAAATTCGCCTGCTCCGGACGTTTCGCTTACGCGTTTCACAATTTCTCAGTCGATGCGTATCTAAATCTTGGCGGAGATTTTCGCCTGTGCGTTTTTTCGCGCCGGCGGACATCTCTGAACAGGGCCTTACAGATATCCAATGTCCTAAGTACATCATACTGCCGTACTATATGTGAATTCGCTTTGGACTCTCACATAACGAAATTTCTTTAACCCATTCGCGACCGCGCAGGATTGCGCAATAGCAGCAGCGTCAGGAGATTTTTCTTCAATAAAATTCGAGTGGAGGGAGATTTCCTCTGCCCAGGGCTGGCGTAGATGAGCGAGGGTATGAAGATTCTTTTCATGGAAGAAAACTTTCCAAATTCCATTTCAAGCCCTGCAGCCACAGTAATACCATTGTCCCGAGTGAG